AGTTTCCATTGACTGTGTGGGCTCTTCTCCGTCCCTAATGATAGCTTGTACCCTAATGGTAGCTTGTAGCTATGACTCGGAGTTTCAGTTTATTATGCCGGGTTCGTGTTGGTTCAGATGGGGAGTGAGTCCCTGGCTTTTAGCTAGGTAGTCAGAGAAAACGAGCATAGTGACCTTGTCCTCAAACAGTCACTGGTTTATTAATTCATTTGTCAGGAGGCCTCTGGTTGGCTTTCTTTGCTCTGGTTTAAATCAGTTTGTCTCTCTGAATACCTGTTCATCTGTTTGGTGCTATGGATTGAACCTGGAGCCTCTGGAATAGTAGACAAGGCCTCCTGTATGAAGCGATGCTGCTTTCCTCCCATTTAAACCTTCATTTGACCATTGTCTTACAGTCTGAGACGTGCAGTGTGGAAATCCAGGAGCTGGAGTTTGAACTGGGAATGGCAGTCCTTGGGGGCAAGTTCACCACTATGGAAGGGCTTCTGAAAGACATCCGAGAACTGGTGAGTCTGGAGTGTGGTATACAGCTCCTTTGAGCAGCTGGGCTGAGGAAGGGCTGTCCTAGTTCTAGAAGCTGGGGCAGAAAGACGGAGGATTTGAGGCCGACCTGAAGCCCCATCGCAAATGCCCTCTACCAAAAATAATCGTATTTTATTGCTTATAACTAAGGTTTTTTTGTTTGTTTTGTTTTGCCTTAAAGCTGGTTTGAGAGACTTAAGTATTGATTATGAAGAGAAGTTAGTTATAGGAAATTTTGAATGGAAATCCTCACGACTAACCGTGAAGTAATATAGTTATTTTGTGATCTTGAGTAAGTCATTATCTCATTGCAGTATAGGAGAAGGAGGGTCTTTGACATCTAAACTCCATAGCATATGTGTATGTGATGGTTTAGCATATGTAGTGAATCCACTGTGTTCAACACAGATAGAAAATTGAGGAAACAATTAATCTGGTGAACACTGCGGACTCTTGCTGTCAGCATTTCCTAAGCAGTAGTGCGTAACTACAGTAGATCTTATATGTTTGCTCACTTTATTTTAGAGATGGTTTTGCCATGTAGTTGAGGCTAGCCCTGAGATCACTGTCCTGCCTCCGCCTTCCGTGTGCTGGGATTACAGGCTCTTGTGTAGCCATTCCTGGCTTCTCTTTGTAAATTGTACTTTGCTTTCTTTTCCAGACTGGGATTAGATATTGTAAGAACTCTTACAGAGAGTTCATCTCATATTGAAACAGGGGTTCTCTATAGCTTTGGAGCCTGTCCTAGAACTCACTTGGTAGACCAGGCTGGCCTTAAACTCAAGGAGATCCATCTGTCTCTGCCTCCTGAGTACTGGGATTAAAGGCTTACACCACCACTGCCCAACTAGTAGATATCCTTCCCTGTCCTAATCTCTGCCGCCTGCCTCCCCTCACCTAAATCAGCAAGCCATGTGGGAAGTGGAGTCCAGCCTTCTCTGACTGGGCAACCACTGCTCTGCACACCTGCTGTGTGCTTGAGACCAGTAACCAATATAGTTGGTGTCGTAGTAACTCAACTGTCACATGCTACAGGTAACCAAGAACCCATTCACATTGGGCGACAGCTCGAATCCTGACCAGTCAGAGAAACTGCGGGAGTTTAGTCAGAAGTTGGACCAGGTAAGAGGACATGGACCGTTTTTATAATTCTAGTTTCCTGTAAATTGAGTTGGCTCTTGTGTGGCGATCATAGCCTCTTCTTTCCGGGATCAATGGGAGAGTTACCTGCTATGTCCTCTCTCCTGTAGATCATCGAGGGCAAGCTGAAGGCCCACTTTGTTATGAACGATCCAGCAGGAAACAGTTACCTGCAGGTACAGTAGGCTTTCCTGTGTGTTCTAATCTTCATAGACTATGCATGATAGCCCTTGATAAAGACTGACTTCTGAGTGAACTGCTTCACTCAGGAAGAAAAGGGAAGGTGGGAGGATTTCAAGTGTGTGCAATTAAAGGTAAATAGGCCAGACCTACTGCAGGTCTGTAATCTGAGCTGCTCAGGAGGCCATGAAGATTGCAAGTTCAAGACCAGCCTGTGCAATTTAGTAAGCCTGACTCAAGATTTTTAAAAAAAAAAAAAGTGAAAAAAAAAAAAAAACAAAACAAAAACAAAAGTGCCTAGGACTAGAGAGACGGCTCAGCTGTTAAAAGCTCTGGCTGTTCTTCCAGAAGACCAGAGTTCAATTCCCAGCATACACACAACAACTCACAACTGTCTGTAACTCTAGTTCCAGGGAATCTGATATCCTCACACAGACATAACAAGAATCCACAGGAAAAAAAAAGTGAATAAATCATTTTTTTAAAAAGCAAGCGTGTGCCTACCCAGCTAGCTTGCTCAAAACCCCAGGTTTAAAAGTGAGCAAGAAAGTAAGATCTCTTCTTTTTGCTCCTACTCTTGTCCTCAGCTTTGAGGTTTCTGTCCTGCATCTCTGACTGTGTAAGGAGCAATAGAGTCCTGTCTATAGTTCAGGGTGGGCATGTTGGGAGTTGCTAGGCTGATTGGGCTTGCATCTGTTAATTGATAAAACTATATCTTGTTCTTATTGTGGTGTTTGAACCTAGGGCCTCATCCTTACTTTAACATTAATGAATAGTGATGGGGCTGGCAAAACTGGCCTGAGTTACTTATATTATCAAGACCTTTGTTGTAATCAGTCCCTCCTCCCTCAACCCCCTCTCTTTCTTTCTTTTTTCTCTCCTTCCTTCCTTCCTTCCTTCCTTCCTTCCTTCCTTCCTTCCTTCCTTCCTTCCTTCCTTCCTTCCTTCCTTCCTTCTCTCTCTCCCTTTCTCTCTCTTTTCTTTTTTCTCCTACCCTCTTTTTCTTTAAACTTGTAGTCTTCCTGTCTCGGTCTCCAGAGTACTGGCATTACACACAATCACCAGCTGTGGCTACGATTTTTTTTTTTTTATAAGAAGGCCATATATAAAAATGCTTAGAACTGAGGATATAGGTCATTGAACTCTTATATACCAATGTATATAAGAGGGTTTGATAACTAGCACCCCTATGAGTGTGTGTGTGTGTGTGTGCATGTGTGCATGCATGCTCACAGACACACTATGTGGTATTGGGCACTAAAAGCCCTCCAAATCCCATGGAGTTCTTAGAAAACTGAGAGACAGTTGCAGCTGTGGGAGCAGATGGTGGGATATAGGGCACTAATTGTCTGCCCTTGGCCTTGCAGAATGTGTATGCCCCTGACGATGATCCGGAGATGAAGGTAGAGCGGTACACGCGTACCTTTGACCAAAATGAGGAGCTTGGGCTCAATGACATGAAGACAGAGGGCTATGAGGCAGACCTGGCCCCACAGCGGTAGCAGTGCACAGCTCCCAGGCCATCTTTGATGCCACCAGCCCCACAGGCTTATTTATGACTGTTGAAAAACAATGAATGTCCAAGCCCTTGCCCCTGGTGAGGAAGATATCGCTTGAGCCAGAGATCTAAGCATGAGATGAGCAGCTGGAGATGCAGCTGCAGCCCTACTGTGCTCCCCGACCTTCTTTTGGAGGTTTTAAGTCAGCCTGAGAACTCAGAACACCGTGGGGTCTGCTATCACCTTTTGCCTGTCAGCTCTGCCCTCGAGCACTGAGACTCTAAAGCTCGGTGATGTGAAATACAAGTTCCAGCTGGCTTCGGGCTTGCCTAGCTTCTGGGGGGATGTGGAGCACTGGGGAAGAAGCTAACATTAAAGCGATGGCTTTTAACAACACCTGCCTCTGCGGTCACTGTGTCCTTGCAGAATACCATGCCCTTAGGATCCAGCTGCCTAAGCTGACCATGGAGGGTCATACGTGTAATCCCAGCACTCAGGACTGAGGCCAGTTTGGGCCAGGTAGTGAGATTCTGTCTTCAAAAAAAGAAGAGGGATTTTAAGAAGTTTCTCAAACTTTGTCTACTGTCACTGGGCAGTCAAGCAGAGTTTCATTCATTCCAACAGACCATGTCTACTCTGAGTCGGGAACCTGCAGGACAGCCAAGGGCTACACGGAGAAACTCTGTCTTGGGAAAAAAAAAAAAGTTTAGTGGGGGAACTGACAATACTAGACAAGGGAAAGAGAACCTCAGGGTTGAGTCGGAAGGGAAGGGCATAGAAAGAGTGAAGGTTTTTTTTTTTTGGTTTTGGTTTTGGCTTTTCAAGACATGGTTGGTTTCTCTGTGCAGCTTTGGAGCCTATCCTGGAACTAGCTCTTGTAGACCAGGCTGGCCTCGAGCTCACGGAGATCCACCTGCCTCTGCCTCCTGAGTACTGGGATTAAAGGCATGCGCCACCACTGTCCAGCAAGAGTGAAATTTTAAGAGTCTGAAGACCAGGTTAGCAAATGACTCCTAAACTTCAGAGCGTTAATGTGTGCGCGCGTGTGCACATGTGTAATGATGTATGTGCATGTGGAAGCTAGGGGAGGACATTGGGTACCCACTGTAGCACCTTCTACCTTCCCTCCACATCAGGTAAAGGCAGGCAGGTTACACAGAGAAACCCTGTCTAAGAGCAAAACAACTCAAATGGCTCCACGTGTTGCTGGCCTCTGGCCTCTGCTGGCAAAAACCAGAATCTGTCAGTGTGAAAATGGGTGGGCTATGGTACTTCTCCAAGGCTAGGCCATGGTGGTGCAAGTGTGTAAATCTACCTACTTGGGAGGCTGAGGCAGGAGGATAACAAATTCAAGATCAACCCAGACAACTTAGGAAGATCTTGTCTTCACAATTCAGAAAGGGGCGGGGGTTAGAGTTCTGCTCTAGAACTTCTACCTACCGTGTGAAAGTTCCTGGGTTCAATCTCCAGTGCTAGATGGAAGAAGAAACAGCTGTGGGGGTCAACTGACGATTCACAGAACAGTTAACCTTCTATAGAAGTACCAGAATCTTCCTAGTTTGTTTTTTTTTTTTTTTTTTTTTGCCACACTGACATCAAATCGATGTCATTTTTGAGAAGATTTTATACCATTTTCTTGAGACAATACCAAACCTGTAAAGATTTGATGAAACCTATTCATTTTTTCATAGTCACAGTATTGGGAGTGGGATTTGTTTGACTCCCTCTAAATGGTATTTGGAAGCCTGATCTAGCATAGTGTCCACCAAAAAGAATTTATACCAATAAAAATAGCGGGAATACACTAATTGTGCTGGACACTTCTAAGCATTTGGCACAGCATCCATTATTAAAATGCTGTTCAATAACTTGCCCCCAGTAGTACAGTTATGATCGGGCCCCATATTCAAACAGGTGCTATGTCTGATCTGAGTTTTCATCAGGGCAGGATCTAGTTAAGTCGGCTTTGGCCTCCGGCTGGGACAGTGCCGGCTGAGGGTGTTGCACGTGTGCATCCTAACAGGAAAGCAAAACCGGACTCTTACATACACACCCACCCAGCCACCCACCCACACCCAGCAAAGGAGTCATTACGTCTATCAGTCTCATGCTTTGGGCTTCCGCTCCTGGCTCCACCCCCATCCGTTTCCAGTAGAAGAAGTTTGTCCCCCGCGCCGAGCCGTTGCTCCGCCCTCGCCGCTGCCATGGCGGCAGCTCCGCCGGTCTCCAAGGCTGAGTATCTGAAGCGTTACTTGTCTGGGGCAGATGCCGGCCTGGAAGGAGGTTCAGAGTCCGTTCGGAAGAGGCGCAAAAAACGACCGAAGCCGGGAGGCGCCGCTGGCAAGGGGTGAGTGGACTTGAGGGGACGTCGCGCTGCCCCGTTGCGCCTCGGCCGCAGCTCTTCCTCCTCCCCGCCCGCGCGGCGCTCCGAGCGCTGCCGACCCCGGCCGGAGCCCAGGCCCCGCTCCACTGCTCAGGGGCGAGCTTGTCGCCACGGCTGGCAGCTCAGGCCTCATCCTCTGAGCAGCGCCTTCCATGTGTTAAGGCTAGCTGGAACTTTCCTCACTGTTTTCCCGCCTTTGTAACCTTGCATTGTCCGTCGAACAGATTGGAAAGTCTTGCCCCAGAATAGTGGAGCTTATTCAAAGCCCCAGGGCTTGCTTTTTTTTTTTTTTTAATTTTATTTTAGGGTCTAAAAATTGTTTCTGGGAGATTCAAAGTATCAGGAATTGATCTGGAATCAAAGATCCAAGTCCTGTTACTCTTATCTACTAACAGTATCAATTAACATGGGTGCAGTTCATCTCAAATGTCTTGGCCTCTTTCCACAAACTTCGACTGTATAACTTTCAGAACCTTGGGATGATGAAGTAGACATTGTTTTAAGGTTCGAAGTGGGGTGTGCTGAGACAGATTTCGGATGAAATACCCTGTAGTGACTTGGCCCCTGGAACCTGGAAAGTTTGGGATAGGGGATCCAACATTAGCCCACAGAACAAAGCAAATTCCCTATATACTTTAGCGCAGCTGCCCTAAGTTTAGCAGCTTATTAAGAAGGTGCTATTTTGGATACAAGGTCGAAACTCTGGAAGCTAATCCCATTCTTACACCCACCCTGGGTCTGCTACTTGCTAGGAGCTTAGCAGTTTAGAGAAGGTGCTAGATAGAATATAAAGCGTGGCTCACCCCTCCCCTCCATGGGGGCAGCATCGTGATCTAACAGTATTATTCCCATATCTCAGCTGAGAAAATTTTGTGGCCCACTGAAGTGGGTAAACTAATTCCTCCTTTGCCCAGACTTATCTTCATTTGGAACTTGAGCCTGGCATCATTTGGAGATGGAATCTTGGGGGTGTTGCCAGTTGAGCCTATATCCAGTTAAGGTGGGTGCCAAATTCAGTGGGTTGACATCCTTATAAGAAGAAGCAATGCCATGCAGAGAAAAACGTTTAAGCTTTGTAACAGCACTAGAGTTTGAATCCCAGCCATGCTATTTATGTTTATAGCCTGGGTGGTCTTGGGCAAGAGAGATCATCTCTCTGAGACTCTGTGTCCAAGGCTTTAAAGCAGTGACCCTGAACACTATCGTTTGTCAGAAATGGCTGTTGTGATTAAAGATGCATCCTGTGTTCCTGGCTTTTCAAATACCTCTTTGCAGCACAGTTTGTCTGTGCGGATCACGTTATTGGCTGCCGTCATCGTTCAGTAGTTGGTGGACTGGTTCCTCAAGTCCACAGGTACTTAAGTTCCTCCACACAACGATACGGTATTTGCGGGAAAACTATTCATATCCTCTTTAAATAATCTCTGGGTTACTTTCAACACCCACTGTAGCTTAGATGGTGTACTGGCTGGTTTTGTGTCAATTCAGCATAAGCTAGGGTCGTCAGAGGAAAGAACCTTAGCAGAGGAAATGCCTCCATGAGATCTGACTGTAAGGCATTTTCTCATTTAGTGATGTATGCTAGAGGGCCCAGCCCATGGTGTGTGGTGCCATCCCTGGGCTGGTGATCTGGGTTCTATCAGAAAGCAGGCTGAGCAAGCCATGGGAAGCAGGCCAGTAAGCAGCTCCTCTCCTTGGCCTCAGCATCAGCTCCTGCCTCCAGGATCCTGCCCTGTTTGAGTTCCTGTCCTTGACTTCTTTCAGTGATGAAAAGAAATGCTGAAGTGTAAGCCACATAAATCCTTTCCTTAACTTGCCTTTTGGTCAAGGTGTTTTGTCACAGCAGTAGGAGCTCTAAGGCAGATGGTATACCAGTACTTGTTACATCGTTTAGGGCATTGTCACCAAAGAAAGTCTGTATTTGTTCAATACATTGGTAATTGTCTTTCTTTCTGTCAGTCTGTCTTTCTGTCTTTCTCTCTTTTCTTTCCTTCCTTCCTTCCTTCCTTCCTTCCTTCTTTCTTTTTCTTTTTCTTTTCTTTTCTTTTTTTTTGTTTGTTTGTTTTGTTTTTCGAGATAGGGTTTCTCTGTGTAACAGTCCTGGCTGTTCTGGAACTCACTTTGTAGACCAGGCTGGCCTTGAACTCACTGAGATCCTCATGCCTCTGTCTCTCAAGTGCTGGGATTAAAGTCGTGCGCCCCCACTGCCTGGCCTGGTAATTTTCTTTTCCCTGGGTATTTTTAGTCTGTAGTAGGTTGAATATGCAGTTGCAGAACCCATTGGTATGGAGGGCTGACTATGTCCTGTGACAGTTGTGTTGAAGAGGCCTTGATGAACAAGACTGACTTAGTCAGCAGGATATGGTGGTAGATACTTAACCACCCAGCACAGGGGAGGCTGGGGCAGGAGAACAGGGTTTGAACCTAACCACAGGGAGAGTATGGGCGGTGGGGGGGGGGGATGAACAAATAAAAGAATGTCCTAGCCCTTGGCTGTTGGAACTTAGAGTTTAATGGGAATGTGGGCTTTATACAATCAGTGATTCAACAAATTGATTTAACTTGTTTGATAAATACAAATGAAAACATTCTAAGAGTGTGTAGAGGGATTTCCAGCTTGGGAGTAGGAGACAACAAGAAAAATACATCCAAGAAAGCTATTCAGTGTCAGAACCCAAAGAAAATGAGATCACTGGTTAAGGGAGAGGAGAGTGGGCCTGGCAGAGGGAAGGGGCTGCATTTGTAAAACCTGATAGAGTAAGAAATTTGACTCAATCCAAGATAGACAGTGATAGACCAGGAGATGGCTTAGTGCTTGCCAGCAAATGTGACAACCTGAGTTCAGTCCCATGAACCCACATGGTGGAGGGAGAGAACCGACTCCTGCAGTTGTCCTCTGGCTTCCATATGCGTGCTGTGGTACATGAATATACCGTCATATATAAACACACGATAAATAAATGTAAAAAAACCCAATAGGCTAGTGTACATAGGCCTGTGTCCCAGAATGAGTGCCTTTTTGAGCCTTTTATTGTTCCCATCTAGAATGCGGATTGTTGATGACGATGTGGGCTGGGCAGCTATCTCTACCACTAAGCCGGAAAAGGAGGAGGAAGAGGATGGAGATTTGCCTGTGGTATGTATCTTGGAGTCTTGTTGGGACGTTGAAATGATTCAGGTGTCTCATCCTTGACTCCCCATTGTGGGCTAAAGCTGAAGGGGAAAGCTGAGCAAGGGAAGAGGTGACACAAAGAGCTGTCTGGTGCTGTTTTTGTCTATGATGCTCGTACAAATGATCCCAAAGTAGTGATTTGACTGTGTGCTAGTGTGAATATGATGAGTTTTTAGCAGAAGGTTTTGAATTTTGAACTTCCAGCCTAGCACTGTTCGGGTATGATAGTCAGGTGACCAGAAGGAGACACAAGCAATTCTCTGCATGCAAGGACTTAGGTAGACTTAGTTTATTGAGTACCAACCATGTACCAGGCACTGCCGAGCAAACACAAAGGATCTCATTCAGTCTTCAGAGCAGTCCTTTGTATCCTGCTTCTAGAAATAAGGGCATTGAGCTTAGTGATGGGGCTCGCACCTTTCATCCCAGCACTCGGGAGGCAGTGGCAGGCGGATCTCTGAGTTGGAGGCCAGCCTGGTCTCCAGGACCGCCAAGGGATAGAGCTCAGAGTATTATATGAGGAGTGATGGTGGGACGTGGGGAGCAGAAGTAGTACAGAGGAATGATGGCCTGCATTTGATTCCATTTTTACGGTTGGCTAGCCTAGGGTCATTTACCTTCTCTGGGTCACAGTTTGCTGGTCGGTGGCCTCGGATCTTTCTTGGCAGGATTATGGTAAAGAACTGACTAGGAGAATCATGCTTGCACAGCTGCTCTGTATAGCTGCAGCCACGCTGAAAGTCTCAGTCAGAAAGGGCTTAAGGTCAGAGTTAGGATGGAGGAAAAGAAGTTCTCTGAGGGCAGATAGGGGTTCAGTAAAACCAAGAATGTTCTTTTGCTGTTGCAGAATACAGGGACTGACGTGAAAGGTGAGTTCTGCATCGGGGAGGATTCTATGAGTGATAATTTATCATTGATCGGGAAGATTGGAGGCTGTCTCTGAACGTTCTGTAATTTGGTGTATGGCCAGTAGTTCCCTTTAGTTGGATTCAAGACCTGTCATTGTGACAATCACAGGAAAGGCTTCGTAAGGGCCGAATCTTTGATTAGCGATAGGCAGGTTAGAAAGGCCGTGTTCTCACTGTGCGTGGAAACTAAAAATGTGGAAGGAACGAGCTTTTCACGTACACATGGCTTTTGTACGCCAGCAAGATTACTAAGAAGGTCTGCGTGACTTTATCTCTGGGGGGAGAGTGACTGGTCAGAGGAAGCCTGCAGTCACTAGGGTGACAGTGCTCACGGGCCAAGAGTAACAGCACTGCTGCATGTTTCCTGATGCCACAGGGCAAGTGTTAGGAGGCTCTTGTGACGAGTGCTCCTTGGCCGGATTGTGCAGTCTCTTACTGCAGTGTCCCACTCCTGCAGGTGGCTGAGTTTGTGGATGAGCGTCCAGAAGAGGTGAAGCAGATGGAGGCCTTCCGCTCCAGTGCCAAATGGAAACTCCTGGGAGGTAAGTGTCAGCAGCAGATACTCTAAATGTCTGCTCTATAGGGCAGGTCCCTGTAAACCTTCTTGCTTTAGAGCAGTGGTTCTCAACCCCTTTGGGGGTTGCCTATCAGATATTATTTCATATTACAAATTACATTATAAATACTTATTTTACGAATCATAGCAGTAACAAAATGACAGGAAGTAGCAGTGAAATAATGTTATGGTTGGGGTCACCGCAACATGAGGAACTGTGTTAAAGGTCACAGCATTAGGAAGTTGAGAAGCGCTGCTCTAGAGGAATGCGTTGCTTGTTTCATTGTGTCAGTGATTATGCCAATTGTGGGAAAAAGGTGTCGGGACTTCTGGAGGAGGACACAGGGCATTAGAGACTGACTTGTTAGACCATGACTGTTTAGAAACCTTTTAGCCCCGTTCCTCCCTGGTCCACAAGAGGGAGCAGTTGGTACCAGCAGGACTTTGGAAGGACCATATGAGTAACAGGAAGAGCATGGAGGCCCAGGCTTCCCAGGCTTGTGAGAGTTAAGAAATCTGTATAAAGCATTGCTCCACAGTAGATAACAGTTAATGTTTGATTTCTTCTTCTTTTTTTCCCCCTGATTTCCCCTCTTAAAAGGGGAGCATAGTGACATGGATTAAATACTTAGTACGTTTCATTTGATGTGTACAAGTTTAGTCACTGTGCCTTTAAAAAGGAGTGAGTAAGCCTGTAAATGATCTAGACTGCATAGCAACAGGAGTCACTGGAAATGAATTGGATTAGGAAGGAAAAGACTGGGATTGGGGCATGTCTCCTCTGAGTAATGGTGGCCTTAGGGGATCCCCAGAACCTCTGTTTTCATGTCTGTTAGACATGATCACCTGCCCTGCTTACTATAGGAGTACTATGAATGAACGTGCTTTAAGTGCTTTGCACACTGGGGTCTTGGGAGGAAGTGAGAGGAGTTACTCTTTAGGTTGTCTGTGAGTGCTGCTTTGCTGCCCCTAAGCACAGGAGCCAGGTAGACCTTATGGGCTTTTCCAGTAGTTCAGAGATAGGTGTTTCTGGGCCATGTTTTTAAACTGGGTGAGATGTGCACGATGATCTGTGGGGAATCTGATTGTTTGCTTTTGTGTTTAGACCACAGTGAAGATGGGCATTTCCGTCATGATGAGCAAGATCCATCTTCTCCTAGGAGGGTTCGTCATGACACCCCGGATCCATCTTCTAGGAGATCCCGTCATGACACCCCAGATCCTTCTCCTCCCAGGAAGACCCATCATGATACACCAGATCCGTCTCCTCCTAGGAGGGCCCGTCATGACACCCCAGATCCCTCTCCCCCAAGGAGATCCCGTCATGACACCCCAGATCCCTCTCCCCCAAGGAGATCCCGTCATGACACCCCAGATCCCTCTCCCCCAAGGAGATCCCGTCATGATACCCCAGATCCCTCTCCCCCAAGGAGATCCCGTCATGATGCAGACACATCTCCTCCTAGAAGGGTCCGCCATGACTCAGACGCTTCTCCCCCCAGGAAGTCTCATCGTAATTCTTCAGGTGTATCTCCTAGGAGAGGCCATCCTGGTTCCTCGGGTGTCTCTCCCCCCAGAAGGGCCCATAACCACTCCCCTGACACAGCCACACATAGGAGGACTTTTGACACTTCAGACCCACAGCCTCTCAGGAGGGCTCGTCATGACTCCCCTGATTTGGAACTGTCCAGAACCAAAAGTAGTAAAGCTGCGGAAAGATCCTCTAGCAAGACTGTACACCAGAGGGGGCTGGGACCCTCTCACTCATCACTCTCCAAGAACAGCAAGTACGGGCAGGACTCTGACCTTTCTCCACGGAAACGGCAAGCAAAGGCTCATGTTGGCGCAAAGAAGCAGCTTGATCCTAAAGGTGAGCATATGGCTGTTTGTAAGAGGAACTTGATCTTGTGAGTATGAGAGTGAGTTTCCTTGGAAACATTTTGAAACATGAGCGGCTAGGCATAGAGTTAAAAACTCCCAGGGGTAGGGAGGAAAGTCCTTATGTGCTCTTGCTCACCCTTGTAACCCATAAAAAGGCACTGATGGGGCAGGCGAGGTGGCTTTGTGGGTAAAATAATTTTCTGTACCAGTGCAGTGAAAGGAGAAAACTGACTCTGAATGCTGTTCTCTGTCCTCCACATGTGGGCGCCTGCACTCACACACACATACAGTAATAATGGATGCAAATGAAAGCTGTGAATAGAATGCACAGGAAGGTTTTCACCAATTGTCATTCAGACACCGTCATTGTTAGTGTTGTAGCCAGGGCCTTGGGTGCTTCTGGCATGCATGAGCCTGGCTGTGCAGAGTGTACCTGCTATGTATGATCTTGCATGAGCCTGGCTATGCAGAGCGTACCTGCTGTGTGTGATCTTGCATGAGCCTGGCTGTGCAGAGTGTACCTGCTATGTATGATCTTGCATGAGCCTGGCTGTGCAGAGTGTACCTGCTATGTATGATCTTGCATGAGCCTGGCTATGCAGAGCGTACCTGCTGTGTGTGATCATGCATGAGCCTGGCTGTGCAGAGTGTACCTGCTATGTATGATCTTGCATGAGCCTGGCTATGCAGAGCGTACCTGCTGTGTGTGATCTTGCATGAGCCTGGCTGTGCAGAGTGTACCTGCTATGTATGATCTTGCATGAGCCTGGCTATGCAGAGTGTACCTGCTATGTATGATCTTGCATGAGCCTGGCTATGCAGAGCGTACCTGCTGTGTGTGATCATGCATGAGCCTAGCTGTGCAGAGTTTACCTGCTGTGTGTGATCTTGCATGAGCCTGGCTGTGCAGAGCATACCTGCTGTGTGTGATGTTGCTTGCTCTCTTCACTCAACAAAGTTTCTTTGGTTTGTAGGTATTGTTATGTTACTGTGATTTTCTTTCTTTTTTTATTTTTAACCTTTTTATGTTATATAAATTGACTCAGCCATTTTCCTGAGATTGCATGCTTTGGATTATTTCTAGCTTTGCTCTTAGGATAGTTGACAGTCATCCTGTACATATACTGTTGGAACAACTATGGATTGTTTCTTATCTTAGATCTCTTGGGGATTTAAGTGACAGGTTCCTAGAAAGCTGAGCAGTTGTTTGCTAGGTCAAAACGTGTGGCCATTGCTACAACCTGGTACCCACTACAGGAGGTAAACAGTGATACTGTCATCGAGAGCAGACCTATGCATTTGTTCTAGCAACTGTTTTGATTTTAAAGTTAAATTACTTTTGTTGTAGAAGGAGCAGGCTGTGTCCTGCTGCTCAGTCGGTAGAGCATGAGACTCTTAATCTCAGGTTGTGGGTTTGAGCCCCATGTTGTGCGCCGAACTGTTGTAGAAGGAGAGTGGGCTGCGTCCCGCTGCCTGGCTAGCTTAACCCCCAAAATAAACACAAAAAAATTGTATAAATTTAATTACTGTCTGGCCCATTATATCTGGCCTCTTCTTGGCCAACTCTCACATCCTGATCTAACCCATTTCCGTTAATCTGTGTATCACCACAAGGTCGTGGCTTACCTGGAAAGATTCAGCGTCTCTGACCTGGCGACTTCATGGTGGCTCTCCCTGTCTGCCTTCCTCCTCCCAGCCTTCTGTTCTGTTTACTCCGCCTGCCTAAATGCTGCCCTATCAAAAGCCCAAGGCAGTTTCTTTATTCAACCAATGAAAGCAACACATAAATTACTTTATTATTCTTGAGTTTGAGGACATCAGCACATACTCCAGGCCTTCCTGACTCTGCCATACCACGAGGGCTGACTCCAAACTCTTCTGTTGATTCTGGACAGAGTGGCAGTGGTAGACCAAAGTATAGATGAATATCTGAAATCTCACATACTTTTCAAAGTCCCCAGACACTGGTGGCCAGGACTCAGAGCCCCTGACTTTGTTCTCCGTGTCTCCTGTGCTTGTTTTATGT